TGTAAAGAATAATCCACTTAACATCGTAATACTAAATTTACATTAGCCACAAAACCAGAATAGTCTCACCGTTCTAGCTGGAGCATTAACTCCCATAGCAAATGTCTCCGTTGAAAAGAGAACCTGTTGAAAGATTACAAAAAAAAAAAAATCAATTACCAGAAAAGATTCAAAAAACAACAGAAATGTGGTAATAGGTCGTCAAATACTCAAATATAGCAGCAATCAGGAGCATAGAAAAATAGTTATTCCAGCACTATACTTATGGTGTAGGCTCAAATAATAGCACAGGAATCCAGTCCCTGAGTATATAAGCCTACCTTAATAACACCACGGCAAAAGAGCATTTCAACAACTTCCTTTACTATTGGAAGCAGCCCAGCATGATGAACACCGATTCCTCTATGAAGTAGGCTTTGGACTCTGAGGACCTTTGAAATGTGTCACCCCCAACAGTTCATGAGTACGAAACCAAGGCACCTCTCTAATATGTGAGAGGAAACGAAATTCTTAAGATAACCAACCTGAGGTAAATTCCGATCAGACCCTTTCAATCTCGAAAAAGCTTTATCGCAGAAGACACGGATTTCACTTTTCTCAGAACTACTAGTGAGGTCAGTCCCAGTCAAAGCGTCGGCACACCTATCGCAATAATTCTTCGAGAAACAGAAAACAACCACCTAGTGGGAAGCGTAAAATCAAAAGGTTAGTCATAAAGACCAAAATGGACTAAAGATTGAATATGAAAACTCATAAACATAGGGGAAACAAGAGTGACATCTAACATACAGGCAACAGGGACATTTTTGAGAGCTTTTTGATAAGAAGCATCCAATTTGAAGCTGCTGATCGTCTAAATGCCCCATTGTTCTGGCTGTTACCACTGTAAGAGGATTTTCCAAAATCTTTTATACTTGAGTGTTTATTCTGCTTGCCACGAGAATGAGCTTCATGTTTCTGAGATTTGTTCCCATCTTGATGAGCTGAAGATCCTGCGTTCTGTTTAGGACCAACAGTAACTGCACTTGAATTCTTCTTCTTGTGTGAATCTTTAGCATCTTTTATCCCTTTAGAGAGAAAAACTTCATTCTCACAAACTTTATAGAGCTCGCCGGAATAAAATAGACAATGCTCTAGAGGAACTGGTCTTTTTGTTGTGCTGTAAATAAAACCGACAAAATTTTGAAAATTATAATTTCAATATAAATCACTGAATTAAATTCATATTATTTTAGCAGGATACATTCAATCTCACCCAGTAACACGTATCTCCTTTTGTTTTGTTCGGCCAATCCAATCAGCAAATTCAAATGTATTTGGTACCTATAAAAAATTGAAATTTAGCAATATACGTTATTAGAGCAAGGAAATACATGAGGAGAAGGGCTCGGGAAAAAACAGAATGGTGAACAGTGACAGAACCATGAAGCCATATATATTGCTATAAATACTAGAAACTGCGGGGGTAGTTCATAAGAAACTCAACCAATTGAGATCCGAAGAAAAATCGATTAAAAGTCACCATTTCTTTTCAAACTCATCTAGTGAGAAAATCCATAGCCAAAGCTTACTTGCATGGTAAACACAACTAATATTTCGAAAGAATTATATTTTCTAAACGCACAACAACATAACAACAACAAGATGTACCGTTGCAGAAAGAAGGACAAAATTTATATGCCTTGGCAACATGATTATGACTTCTTCCCACACAACCCCTCTCTCTACGTCATTGACATAGTGAACTTCATCAAATATAACCTGTCAGTCAAAGGAAAAAGCAACAAGAAAACTTGATTGAAGCTCCACATAGAACTACAAAGGCTGCTAAGAAACGGAGCGATATGAGTACAATGTCAAGCTCTGAAGAAAGTAAAGCATCAGAAAGCTCTTTTACCCATTCTATATCACGTATGATATCAGCACCACGATAAAGCATTGACCTTAATATTTCGGTAGTCATGATCAGGCAGGATGCCTCTGGCCTTATGCTAACATCACCTGTGAGAAGTCCTACATCGAACTTCCCACAAAAGTCTCTGTATTTTTGGTTACTGATGGTTTTAATTGGAGCAGTATAAACAGCTCGTGTACAGTGCTGAACAGACGGAAAAAATAGTCAGCCAATAGAGCAAAGAATCTATTACTACGAACATGGTATAAAATTCAGAATTCTCCACCTTGGTGGCCAAAGCGAATGCATATTCGGCAACAACTGTCTTCCCAGCTGATGTATGGGCTGCTACAAAAACAGACTCCCCCTTTTCTAAACAATGGATGGCCTGTAGGCATAAGCACTCAATTATCTACTGAAAGTTCATATATAATGATAACCACATACGTTCCTAAAAAATCTACAGACTAAAAATTCAAAGGAGATACCTCCTTCTGAAAGTTGTCCAATTCGAAAGGGAATTCCATCGCCATGTCAGGAACAAGCTCATAGAACCGGTCTGCAATGTCTTGGCTATCTCCTTTAGTGGCCCATCCCTAAAAGAACAAGACACACCGTAAATAATGTTGATGGGAGAGAAAATGGAATTCCAAAATGCAGAATCCACATTCTAACCTCTTTCCGTAGTTGTTTATCACTGTTCCCAGTAATAGCCTCTTCAGCCAATATTGCTGTTTTTGCCGATGACAAAATCTCATCCAGCACAGTGACGTCAGTCTCTGTCCCCTTGCTCGCTTTAGGTTCAGGTTCAGGTTCAGGTTCTGCTTCAGCTTCTGCCTTTGGAGACTCAGATCCTGCTGAGCGATCTTCATAATATTTTTCAAATCAGAACAAATTTAATACAAATGAAGATTATATGACTCAAACATAACAGATGTCACGCACCATCTCCCTCAAGTTCGGAGAAAGCATCTTCTTCCAAAACCGTCTTGAACAGATCATCAAATTGAATAGACAACTTGCTCTGAAAGTATCACCAACACAAAGACAGTAATTAAAATAATGTATTCTTACAGTCTATAACAAAAATATGAAAGAAATTTCACATACACCAACAACATCGATCTACATACCGACTTTTCATCAGAAGCGTTGCCATGTGAACTCTGATCCTCGTACACATTCCATGTTTGGGGATATGGCTTTAAAGTACACAGAGGAAAACAAGATGAATCAATCAACACTAAATCATATATAGATTCATTAAATGATAAAATTAGATAGTGAAAAGATAAGATACCATCAAATCTCCAAGATCTAAACTCTGCTTGAAACTAGGAGGAACGGTCTGAGCAGGACCACCATTGAGCAATTCCTGTACCCATTGGCCATTACACACACCTTCTGGAAGGGTTTTCTCTGAAGACTGCGGATCCTCCAAACCACCTGGACGGAAAGGGCGATTATTGACACTTCCTCTCAGAAAATCCTTTGGAGGTCCCACCATTCGCGGAAAAAATCCAGAATCTTGATCTCCGTACATTTGTTCTGATAAATCCACCTAAAATAATATGACAATCCATTTCTCCAACTAGGGTCAAAAACAGAAAGCTAATAGCTGGCCATTCTTCAACCAAAAAATCCTAACTCTTGGATAACATCACCGTCTAAACTCTAAATGAACTAGTTTACTTAAGATAATTCACAACTGAAGTAGAAACAAACGAGTTACCTCCACTGATTTTGGCTCCCATCCTCCGTTTTCAGTATCCTTTTTCTGGCGCCTGAATGGCAATTCCCAAGTTGGAACTACAACGGACCTGGGCAAAGAAGGTTGAAGGGGAACCTTCACCCTGGAAAACCAATCAAAATCCCAATGATTCCCAGCATTCTCCGCAGAAAATTGATCAGGTTCCAATCTCGGCAGGAGATATTTCTCCTCAATATGTTTCTTTATTGATTCTTTTGTTTCCTTCGAAAAAGCAGGAGGCTGAGAAATACACATGTCGAGAGACATAAATGAGAGCTATCAAATCCATATAAAAGTGACTTACAAAGATGACTTCGTCCATTAACAGTTGGATACAGATCGAAATGTACATCATCAGATAACCAATTGAGCAAGAATTTATAACAATTTAAAAACCATATGAAAACCAAAATTCAGAGATTGGCTATTTGTATTTACTTTCTTCACACATAAAAATTGATACAACACTAGCTAACTCCACCCTTATCATCAACTAGATAGTCTCATTTACCACATAAACTTTTTTATTCATTCTTATTGAGAGCAAGACTAAGTAAACTCACACTAAGACCTAGAGACTACCGTTAAAGGAGCAAATACAACCGAATAAATAACACTTAAACACATACTTATTCAGGAAAAACATCGAATTCAGCTACAAAACGGAAATAATTCAATCAAAAATTAGTGCCTAAGCAAACCCAATTTTGAAGGCGTGATCAGACTCTTGCCGCTAAATTCTCAAAACCAGAATTGGAAAAGTCTCTTAATCATATCAATCAGAAAAAAACTCACCGATACGAAATCGGGAAGTGAGTTCACGGAGTCGTCGTTCTCCACCGTGTACAGAGGCTCGACGCGGAGGTGACCACCATGACCAGAGAACCCGACCCGGAAGGCAAGCTCGTTGCCTGCTTGGACTATGTTCATTGTTGCTTCCTCTATACTTCGTCTATCTAATTCGCATTCCCTTTTTTCTCGCCGTCTCGTTTCGTACTGTTCTCACTTCTCAGCGATCCGGTGAAAGGAACAAACTACCGTGACACTTCTCTCCGGCTGAGTTATGCGGCTCCCCCCAACGCCTTGCCGTTTCGTAGCTCAAAACGAAAAGTGTGTGCTGTCTCTACCTCTGTTGGGCTTTGAAACAGGCCCACTGTTAACTTGATTTACAAGTAACAGATTCTTTAGGTGAAAAAGGAAATAAAACGATTCCTTATGTCAAAAGGAGTGATGTTTGTGTGCGAGCAACAGAGTTAATTCTCTTTTGTCCCAGAAAGATAAAACCCTAATTCGTCTCTCTCTCTCTCGTCACAAACAGTTAAAATCTCTCGAGCAGCAAAGCAACACATGTCTAGAATGGATTCGTCTGATGGAAGTTCATCTTGTGCACAACAACAACAGAGGATCGAGATTCTGAACAAAAACGAGAATAAGCTCGTGGGTCTGCTTCATGAAACTGGGTCAAGAGAAGTCGTGGTCTTGTGCCATAGATTTCGATCGAACAAGAACGCAACAATCATGAAGAGTCTAGCCACTGCAATAGAGACAGAAGGGATCAACGCTTTCCGTTTTGATTTCTCAGGGAATGGAGACAGTGAAGGCAGTTTCAGTTTCTGCTTTGGTAACTATAACCAAGAAGCCGAGGATCTACGTTCTGTTATTGAATACTTCTCTAGCAAGAACCGTGTGGTTCCTGTTATTCTCGGACACAGTAAAGGAGGCGATGTTGTCCTCCTCTATGCCTCCTGAAGAATGGACGATGATCATTCAAGGCATCTTTGATGACTTGGTTAAGATTAGCTGAGTTTAGCTAAGTGTAGGAGAGACTCGGTTTCAGGTAGAGTGTCTCTCATACGAGTGGTTCACTAGGGACAGGTGTCTTCTTCTCATTCGTTACTGCTGTGTACAGCGTGTCACTGAGCAAGCTTATAAGCTCGGTTGACTCTCTCGTTGACTAGCCGTTAGTTGTTGAGGCACAAGTTGTAACAGAGAGAGAGAGAAAGAAGACGATCTGTATCATCGGCGGTTTGCCGTTAATAGTGGAATCCGGTGAAATATCGCCTGCGAGACGTAGCGACCCGGTGATGAGGACATCAAGTCATCATCAGACCTGAAGCAAGAAATCAAGGAACAAGAAGATGAGAACATGGAGCCAAGACGAGCTAAGGAGACATGTGAGCTTTTTTCAGCACAAATGAAGACCAATACTGACCGTTCCAGCTCAACAAACATTTGGGATATTTATTCATCACGTCTAGAGCATACCACGAAGAAGAATCATCCCAAAAGCTTTCCACATGAAGAAGATATTGAAGATACACTCAGGCAGATCTTCAAAGGATCCGATGGAGACATACGACCACTTATTGAATCCCTCCAACCAGACCAGAAGGATTTAATACATAAAACTACTTTCTATGCAATCTGGATCCAGCATAGGCACGCTGGGAATTGGAATCAGTCCAATTGGAGTTCAGACATAAGAGTTATTCAGCTTACAAACCGGGTTATCTCCAACAAACCCGATTTGGACATTTGCGCCTTGATCAAAGGATTCCGACCAAACAAGGACGAATCAAGCTATGAACCGGCTTGTTTTGGATTCTTCATTCATCAGAGAATCCAGGAGAACTGGAATCATACCGAGACCGGTTTTGGTTGGAAAGTTATTCAATTTCTAAACCAGAAGATTTCCGGCTTGCCTTATTTGGAACCTTTCGGGTTTTGGAGGCTTCACACATATCAGTGGCGCCCAGGAGACTCTGAGTTACTTCTAGAAGCTTTCTACAACATCCTAAGGTGCACCAACACGCATTGGATCAGGCGGATCCAATCAAGTTCTTAATTAAGCCAACCGGAGCCATTTATGGCAAGTATGAGAGTCAACCGGTTTAATTCAACACAGAACCGACTTTGGCGACCAGGAGACTTCATTTACCAATCAGAGGGTCCAAATATTGTCCCACCATGCACCAGAACTCACAGGATCAGGCGGATCCTTCTCCAACTTCACTTGCCATATATAGATGCATTCACACTTGGAGCCATAACTCTCCAACGGCTCTTTTTCTTTGAATGCTACGACTTGGGAGTATTTTATGAAGATAATAATGTTCCAGAGAAGCTAACTTATCCCCTAAACCCGTCCAGATACAAAGGCATCATCGCATTTTCATATTTGGCCGAGATTCACTCATTTAGAGCCTAACAGCTAGTTTTTGATTAGTTTTGATTTGTTTCTTTGTCTTTAGCATTTTAGAACGTGTAAGAGCATTATATAAGCTCCTCTTAGTCCATTGTAAAAACTCACCTTTCAATCCAGAAATATACTAAGTATTCTTGTTTTCTTTTAAAGTGTTTCTTTGCAAAGATTGTTCTTTTTTTTTTCTTTAGAATTAAGTGTGTGATTCACTTAGCTCTATAGAAGCTGCGACCTAGCTTTTTTGTGAGATTCAAACAATCTATTTCGTTCACAGATTGAGAGAGTCAGTCACCATCGATTGAGAGAGTCAATCAAATCCACCACCTTCCATCCCACCATCATATCCACTTCCGCAAAACTTGTTGTCTTTGACAACCTTGTGAATTATAAGACTTGGTGTGATTCCAATCTTATATCATTTGGTATCAGAGCACAAGTTCCTATCAAGGTGCTTTTGTTCTTTGTCTTTTGCTTTCTGTTATTTCATTTCAGTCTTTGTTTCATCATAAATCGAAAAATCCACAAAAAAAGTGTTTTTGTTTTCAGTTCTGTTTCCATTATTTTGATTCATTATTAAAAAAAAATTTATGAAGTTGTTCGATTTGTTTTGCTACTGTTTTGATAAATCTAAAAGCCATAAAAAGGTCTTTGTCGATTTTAATCTCAGAAAACCCCATAAAAAGTTTTTTAATTCAGCAATCTTTCATTTGTTAGTTTACTCCTTGTTGTTTGAATTTTTATTAAAAATAAAAAAATTCTTTCTTGATTTTCTTTTGTTATTGAACCAGAATTAAAATTTCTTTTCTGTTATTTATATTTTCGAATTTGTTTAGTTTTTTAAAAAAAATATATATATAATAAAAAAATAAAAAAATTATCCTATTGATTCGTTTTATTTCTTAGTTTTGTATTTTTTTTCATTCAAAAAAAAAGAAATTAAAGATTTTCCTTTTTGTTATTAGATTTTCGAAATTCTGTTTGAAAAAAAAAAAGTAAAGAAACCATTGTTTTAATTTGGCAACTTTTCTTCTTTCCTTTTCCTTGTTTAAAATGAGTTTAACCCATCCTTTTTCTCTTTGCTTTTGCGAGATAATCGCTGAGGAGCAGCCACCATGGATTCTAGTGAAGAAGATGAGTCCATAGGATTCAATGAAGACAAATATGATGATTCAATCCAAGGATGGTGGTCCGATGAAGAAGCTGATTATGAATCCCCACCATGGCCAGGAGATGATTATTCAAGCTATGGAGACGAAAGAGATGGTGAAGGAGCTGATCCTGAACCACCAGATTACAAAAGAAACAACGCCAATCAATTGAATTGGTCTAGAGAAGAAGAAACCGACCAAGAAGGTGATTTTGGAGAAGATAGTACATGGCGAGACGAGACTGAGACTCAAATAAGTTTAGAAGACCATGAAGGTGAACCAGGACGTGGAGACCTCCTCACCCATGGAGGAGAACAACATCCGAAAGACGAACTATACCAAAAGCCTTGGTGTGAAGAGACTGAAAGCGATCTAGGAGAAGATCATGAAGAAGATACTTGGAGAGAAGAAACTGATTCTGAAATCAGTTCAGGAGATGGTGACCATGTTGATGACGACCAATGGAGCCATGAGGCAGATCCAGAAGATACTTTGGTTGGAGAAACAAAGTTTGAAGAGGAGGATAAATATCCAAATGAAGCCAGTGTCAACAACACACCTCTAGACGACCCATACGATACAGCAACAGATGATGAGGCAGATTGTGAGCCACGCCACATCTATTTTTCAGGTCATGAACAAGGACCAGAAGCTTACCTACAGTGGGAGAGCGAAATGGAGTACATGATGAGGGCACAAAACATCCCCAAGGACCAGAGACTTTCATATGCACTTGACTCACTTGTTGGAGAAGCTACTAAATGGTGGGAACAAGAAGAAGTTGTGGCCAATTATAATAATTCTACCATCACTTGGGGTAATCTCAAGCAGCGTATGTACAGAGAGTTTGTACAGAAGTTCCACAACCGCAGCTACATTCCCAAGAGGCTAATGTTCCAGACAGCTACAAGGAAATGCATGTCTACACCAAAACCGCAGCCTGTTTCTAAGTCAAAGAAAGCTTGCTGTTCTGAGCCAAAGAAAGTGTCTCAAAGCACTTAGGAAAAGAAGTCAAAGGCTGAGAAACCAGTGGCAACCACAGAAGTTAAACCAAATCCAATGCCACCAATCACAGTTCACAAGAGAAGCACAAAACCGACACTTGAGCCACAAGGCAAAGCAAAGCAATGTAAGTCTTCTAAAACTCTTAAGATAGATACCACAATCTGTTATAGATGTCATCAAAGAGGTCATTTTGCTAAGACTTGTCCAATCAGAAAATCAGAGATTACTACATCAGTTGAACCAGTAAAAGAAGAAGTTAGAAAAGTAGAAAGAGATGAGTTACATTGTGAAATTTCCAAATCAGATATGATGTGCTTGTCTTTGCCAAATGTTTTGGATGCAGGTTTAAATGATGGAGAGCAGCACTATGAAGAGATAAAGATGTGCCAGTCTGCCCCTGAGAAAGATGAAGTTGTTACCAACTTCACTCTGATCCAACCAGAGCCACCAGATCACCTGATGAAATCAAAAGCCATTGCATCTACGGAAATAGAACATACCGAGACTTCTGATCAGGTAAGTAGCACGTTTCTCTCATTTATTTCTGATGATTTGAAGTCTGTGCTAAAGAATCTGCTAAATCCAGAAAACTGTGAGAATATTAAAGAAACCGTTTCTTATATTGAACCACAAAACTATGAGCAACTTGTGGTTTCACATAAAGTTAATGAAATGATCCAACCTGAATCACGTTTCTATGTTTCTAGTAATACCATGACTGCTATAACACACTTGTTCTTTGTCAAAAGTGTCAAGGAAATTGCAGGTACAGGAAAGAATCAACAAAACTCTAATTTGCAAAGGTTTAATAGACACATGACGTGTGAAAAAGGGGATTTCACCAAAGTGAACGACTTGCTGCCCAAAGAAGTCGGCAACAAAACTTGGAGAGGCGTCATTGCTTCTTTTCTGATCAAAGAAGAACCACCAGATGCCCAACACCGACCATGCCCAAGCTACACTCGCACAATGAGTTAAGGTATTTCTCTGAACCCTCAAACAATTCAAGGTACTAACTTGACTTATCTATGTGCAGGTAAACAAGTTTTGAGGACAAAAATTCTTGAAGAGGGAGGATATGATGAGGACATCAAGTCATCATCAGACCTGAAGCAAGGAATCAAGGAACAAGGAGATGAGAACATGGAGCCAAGACGAGCTAAGGAGACATGTGAGCTTTGTTCAGCACAAATGAAGACCAATACTGACCGTTCCAGCTCAACAAACATTTGGGATATTTACTCATCACGTCTAGAGCATACCACGAAGAAGAATCATCCCAAAAGCTTTCCACATGAAGAAATTATTGAAGATACACTCAGGCAGATCTTCAAAGGATCCGATGGAGACATACGACCACTTATTGAATCCCTCCAACCAGACCAGA